GATATGTGATTCTTGCCCTAGTTCATAGCCCATAAATGAAAGCTTCAGCAGATGGCAAGATCATCACCAAGATGATATGCACTTGTAGGACATGTGGCATTCTTTGTTTGCTCTTACGTGTGTAATCCAGAACTGCAGAAAGATACTTGCTTCTTCCTTCAGCTGTCCTCTGAACCTCTTTTAGAAGAAGACAGAGCATATGAAGCAGGGCTATTCTTACAGGCTGCAGACATCTTGGTTCAAATATTTTCTTTACCAACACTCACGCACTGCACTTCACTAAAAGTGTCATATTTCAGTTCACCTTACTGTCTAACGAACTCTTCCTATTTTCTGGTTTTGACTACTTGTATTGATTAACAGTAGTTACAGAGAGAAATATTGGATCATTTTAAGAAAATAATTATAATAGGCCACACTCCATTACTGTTATTAATTAAATTTACCCATTGAAGGTTAACAGTTAGACCATTTTTGTGTTATATCAGAAAGAGATTATGATAGTCTTTGAAAAGCAAATTACAATAACTAACAAACTCAGCATATTCACTTATTTTGAATGTCATTCTAGTCTATGGAGTTTTCTAGTCATAGTCTACAGGTTTGGGCTGCTGAAATTAAAAATAGTTAAACAGACAAGAATTTTTTTCAGACAGTTTATTGCATGAACTTACAGTACAGCATTGCTTATATGGATGATCATAAATACGGCCTTTACTGTAATGCTGACTAAAAGCAATTTACTCGTTTGAAGCTTATGAATGTAAAACTTCTGTTAAACAAAAAGCCAGGCTCAGGTTCAATGGGATTTAGTTTTGAGAGTAAACACAGTAAGAGAGAGATGTATTTTTAGTAAGGGGACTAGGATAGGGACCTGGCTGGACCAAAAAGATGTTGTATGACAAGATACTCAACCTACCTGTGTCTCATGTTTCCCAGGAAGATAAGGAGGATAATAGCCTGTTTGCCCTTACACTGGATTGTGAAGCTTAACTCATAAAGAGTCTTATCCAAAGCCATTAAAACCAATAGAAATCTCTCATTGACTTCAATGAGCTTTTGTTTAGGTCCTTTACAAGACAGCTGAAAGACTGCCGTTGACTTCAAGCCCTAATTTTATAAAGCTCTTTCATGTCTTCAGTTTGTAGGTATTTGGAAACATAGAAATGTAGCAATGAGTAATTATATTTACCAAACAAATCCTCACAAGGTAAAATCGAACACTTTCTTAAAAAAAAACCCTGAGTGCTATTCAATGCATGTGTGTACATCCAGGAATATGTATGTATCGGTTATTGTATGCATTTATTAATAACTGTTTCTCAGACACCCTTACATGTTGGTTGCATAATCCTCTCTGCACTGCTGGATGCCAACTCTACACAAAGTGGAGTTTATAATGACTTCTCCCTTGATTTAGCCAGAGCGTCAGATCCAGAATGCAAATTGTCGCTTTGTTTTTATGCTGGCATTATCCTGGCTGTGTAAACAAAGACAATAACTGATCTAACATAAAGTTATCCATAACATTAACCCTTTGAAATCTTTAAGAAATTTGAAGCAGCAGGGGAGTTTTGTACTTGATCAATTCTTTGTGTCTCCTGCATTTCTGAGCTAAGAAAGAAGCAGCATTGCCAAGCACATTAATGTTATATTTCCTATGCTGTCAAACTACAACCTCATAGCAACAAGGCCCACAAAACAGGAACATTACCAGAGTTGAAAATAAAAAGGGGAAACTTTAAAAAGTGGTATCACAATTATATAAGCTATTCATTATTACATTCCTGTAGCATGCCAATTAAGGAGTGCTAAGCTAATATCATAAAACTTGATTTCATTCTATAACAATTTGAAAACAGTTACAGCTAATTGAGTAGGAATCTCTATTCTAGTCCAGGTAATTGAAACAAATTTCCAGCAATATGTAAGTTTTTATCCCCTTAAATATTAATAGAAAGATGCAAGTTATCTGAATATTTACTGGTTTCTATTCAAAACAGCTATTTTCAGCTTTATGAATGGCTGACATGACATATCTCCAAACCTGAAACACAGCAGCATCAAAGCAATAATATTATATAACGCCTGCCATTCTGTATTGCACAAAGCTTTTTTTTTTAAAGACGACGCACAATAACCATGAACTACTTAATTTAATCCAATACTCTGGAAAGGTAATTAATATTTAAGTTTTGATCATATAGAGAGTTAACAGCATTTCTATTTCAGCACTACCCACAGATGTTCTGTTATTTTTGTAATATCAGTTAAAATACTAATTTTATTCAAAGACATTACTAAGAAGAAATGAAATATTAAACCTTTACAAATTTTGGTTAAAACATGTTCATTTAATTTACACACTTCAGTAAAATGTCTCTTTATGTCTTAACATTCCAATTTTAGTCCTACAAAAAACATGCAATAACAAGAGATAATATAATTTATTTTATATTTTTTTATGAACTAAGTAAAGATAATTTAATCTACCATGGGTTTACATTTTAGAAATTCATCTCTATCCAAAGGTGCATCTAATTTAGAACTTGATCGGTGTCAGGGTTTTTGCTTTATCAACCTAACCCCATTAGGCCATTATACATATTGTTATTATCCAAGAGAAAAAATTATTCTAACATCTGTTCTCAATCTGTTTTTCCATAATTTCCTTTTATGCCCCATGTAACTCATTAAGCTCATGTACAAAACATTACCGTGTCTGACTGTCTACACAATATATGCCTTTCTCCTCTAAGGTTGCATGATAATTGAAAAAATGGTAGTCTACAACATAATCCACTTTAAAAATATACTGTTTTTACTGAATCTTTTGATCCACAAAAATATACCTGCTTTTGCAAGTCAGAATTGTGACACACATAACATTTAACCTAACCTCTTAAGTGACCTATATTCTAACAAAATGAGAAAAATGGGTTCATGTTTTACTGTTGTGCAGTCTCTTCCTCATGACTGCTTCAGTCTTAGGAAAGAAAAAGTGTTTAAGTTGAAAAGAACATACCTTCTGAATGGTTTGAAGAGAGTGAATTTAATATTTTCATTCACTTATGCAAGTGATCTCAAGCGTACAGCAGACAGAGGGGTAGAAAGCATCCCAGTAACCTAAAATCTAATGTGTGTAGAATGGAAAAGAACCTGAAGTCCAGTGTGTCCTTCTAAACGTACTTTAGATTTTCTTCTGCAGATGAAAACTTTCAATATTTTATTATTCTCAAGCTAGTTTTGAGCCCTGTGATCTCTTCTGCTCTCTTTTACCTGTATTCAGTGATTGCTGCTCTAATTTAATTTCAGAGGAAAATACCTATTTACACTTGACCTGTTGATAAAGTATTCATCAACACAATACAAAGGTCATTCTTCCTGCAGAAGCGAAAGAATTCACTGTCAAAACTGCCTCACTAGCTCTCAAAAGGTGCCACTATCCGATGACATACTATCCGATGTTAGCTAGGAGCTGATGACTTAATGTGAGGTCAAAGCCCAGTGAAGGTAATTTTCTAATTTTTCTAAACATCAGTGAACTGAGTAAAAAATTGAGGGTATTTAGGTTTACCCCAACATGTTGTCTTGTATGAAAGCTGCATGGTGCCTACCCTGAGGATTTTACCTTATATTAATTTCTGTGTGAGCTGCTGTAAATCTGAAACCAATGCCACACTGCTAAAGTTTCCTCATGCTCTGAGTCTACATTGGCAATATATTTGTAAGTGAAAAGGAGATTAGTGGCTTTATGACTAAGATTTACCTTGGGAACAGAGAGCAAGGCAGAAAAGGAAAAGCCTACTAAGGGAGGAAAGAGATACCTGCACAGAATAGACAAATCCTGATGGAAAGACTCTCTAAAACTAGAGTTAGGAATCTCACAAGATAGTAGCAGGAAAATGAAAAATCACAAGAAATACAAGCATAGAACAAGTGAGACAAAGCAAAAGAGAGGCAATGGCATCACATACTCCAAACCAGACAGTAGTCCGTTTTTGCAGTTTTTTCCTGAGAACAAATTATTTCAAGTTAATAATTGGGATAAACTTCCAGAAGCCAGACAAACTCATAAGGTCCTTGCTATTGTTAATTCGACTAGAGTCAGTGTATGAAATAGGTATGAAATGCACAAGGGTGGAAAAATCTAGCCTTGACAACTTCCCTGTGACAACCAGTGGACTTTTATAATATTAGATGAGTATTCTCTCTTAAAGACACCTCTCGAAAAACTGCATATGGAATAGGGCAAAAAGGATTTGTATTTCCACAGCAGGATGCACAGCTTATGCAACTATTTCCTGCATGATAGATTAAGTTAAAACAAGAACAGGAATCCACAAAAAGTGTACCAAAACCAAACCAAAACTGGAGTGCAGAGAAAGTGTTTACTGTCTTCCTGATGAACAGATGCACACTTTTATCAGTCAAGAAACAGATGTTTCAGGTTATGTTTTGTCATCATTCAATATGAAAATGGCCCTATATAAAGAAAATTTAAATATTTATTTTTGCGGAAGTTTTGAAATACCCCTACTGTCATCCACAGACTAATTTAACAGTTAACACTTACTAAGCACAGTTACGGTTTCCTAATACTTTATCCCAGCACTGGCTTTAAATCAAGACTGAAGTCCCAGGAAGGAACCGTTCCAAATTACATCAGCTGGCAACATGTCCTCAGGGAGCATCTGTCAGCTACAGGGAGCTGGCTCACCCTCTGGCTACTCCTCCAGTACATCCCTCCAAATTTAAAATCTCCACTACTTCTCCTTGCATGTGTGGAAACTAAAAGGAGTCTTTATTCTTCTTATTATAGTTAAGAGCAAACTCAATCTCTGCTGACCAAGATATTTCATTAAATCTAATAATTCTCACAAAAATAATAAAAATATATTCACAATCAACTCATACTTGCTGTGTTGCACAAATGATCCAGGATACATGTGCTGCTTTTCAGTTGCGAAGTGTAAATGATACACAGTGAATTGACTTACCGGGCCAAAAGCATTGCTGTCAAAGCTATGTCCATGGTGATCACCTTCCACCCAAATATGCCCATGTGGAACTTTCACATACTTCTTTTTGTATCCAATGGTTCTAAAAAAAATTGCAAAAACGGGTAATAAGTTAAAAAAAAATCTTCAATGTTTTCTTAGGAAAATTCTCATGTTTATTGTTTTGGAATATGACCTTGCATACCATCCAACATTTGGTTAAAAAAAACTACACTTAAGTCTTTCAGACATCAAGAGGCTTCCCCAGTGAAAATGTACAAAATTTTTGTATGAGTTAGTTGCACTATCAGGGCCTGTTTACTATGTTATTTTGCAGAAATCACATCACAAAGGGAACAATAGACTTTCTAGTTAAATATAATTAAGGGATTCTTATTTCCGTCTCTGTATTAACAGTTCTTTGAACCAGCAGATCATATTTCAGGTGAATGCCAGTGGACATAAATGCAAGTAAATGCAGTCACATAGAGACTGTATTGTATTGAGAATGCTTTTCTTCTGGGGTAGTGTGAAGTACTCATCAAAAATAGTCTGGCATATCTGAACTGGCCTCAGATTCAGAGCTGGGATTCCTGTAATGCTTATGTCCTGCGGATAGGATTTCCTCAGCTGTAACAAGCTAAACAGGATAAACTTAAAGGAAACCCCTTAGAGAAGGCCAAGCGCAACAAAAAATTACATTGATGATTCAAGCCATTCTCCACAGAAATTCATACGGAAGTGGTGCCTCAGCATGCCCTGATGTTACAAAAACTACAAGCTACAGATGAGTCCTAAAGCTGAGGTGCAGAGTATGCAAAGTTCCTGTACTTAGTCCCTGAGTAGCTGTCATTTTCACAAGTCCGGTCTGCCTTCTATGATACACTCCTGCTTGCTTTCAGATGGGATCTGTTATTCTGCAATCATTCACACCATTGTTGATTTTATGATGCACATCGAATTATCACCATGATGAAGCATTTACAGATGAGTCTACAGATAGCAATACCTCTTATTTTGTTTTGGATAACCAAGTCTGTCCATAAACAGAAACGGACTTTTGGTCTAGCTTGTTGCCTCCAGCTGCTCATCACTTTTCACCGTCAGGAAGATATGCCCCCAAAGTGCGAGGCAGAAGGAGGACACTCTAAAACTAAAGAAAATCAACTGCTTTTTCAAACAGCTTCAGAGGCAGCTGAAAAGATGAGGCTGCAAGAACTGTATTATAACGGAAGTTCTACCTTCCATTAGAAGTTTTTAGTTTTCTTTTTTTTTGAAGAAATATAGCATACACTCTGGACAAGAAAATTATTTATGTTTTGAGATTCCATAATGTTTTGTCTCTACTGATAATTTCTTTTATGAAGTACCATATGAGACTATATTTTATTAGAAACATGTTTTAAGATATAGGCTCAGAGAAGTTGGACATTAATTCTGTGCTGTCTGATTAGACACTCTGAAAAATATTAAATTAATATCTTCCATCAGTGATAAAGGCAAATAATAGCTTAAAAATATTTAATTTTCTCTTCCATTCATCTTCCTGAATATAGAAGAGTAGATAGTCATAAAGTTTTGTACCTTTACAGACTTCATGCACAAGACTGAATTTCACCCAGAAGGGTGAAAAGATTTTTCAAGTTTTTAAGTCTTTTAACTTTAAGAAAGTTAATTCTGCTGGCATGTTTACCTCATAAATGCCAGAAAAATGATATGGCAAATGCCTGTCTGTTTTCATCTTAGGCCAGACAGTTTCCTATTCCCAGATAGTCTCCTCCTTTATTATGGTTAGAAAACCACTAACAAGAAGGGGAAAAGGAAAGAAAAAAAAAAAACTTTTGCAATAACTACTTGGAAACAGAAAGAAATCATTTAGTCTGCATGGATAGGTTTTGCAGAGGTTTGCAGAGACATTGTGTAAATAGAAAGGCTTAACACAGGTGTATAATGTGTTTTTTAAGGACCAAAGCAAAAAGAAAAAGATTACAGAGTGTAGTAATTATCATTGGTTCTTTTCATTATTTCTACAACATAAGAAAATACATATTCTTTCTACTCTTGAAATAACTATCATAAACCTGAAAAATTTGCTACAATTATGAAAAAAAGGTTCTTAAAATGATTAAAGAAGAATTATGTACAAATTCTCATCTTGAAAGAAGCAGATTATTGTACATAAGAAGTTCTGACAGAGGAAATAGAATTAAAATTGATGATGTTAATAAATGTATTAAGGGAATAGGGGAGACAAAAAGAAATGGAAAAGAAATGGAAGCAGCAGTTCTAATTATCTACTTCAGTAGATAGGACTGATACTGCATGGATAAATCCCTCTGAAAGCTCAACAGATAAACGTAAAACATTCTGCCATTTCATATATATAAAAATCATCAGATTTTTCCCACGTGTAAGTCCAACAGAAAAAAAATCAAGCTATATTGTAAACAACAAGCACCTGCATACCTGTGAACAAAAGAGAGGCAATTTTTCTAAGCCAATTCCTTCAAAATGTAGTATTTGCATAGGGCAGTTATCTAGAGACTTTGCATCCACTTTAGCAATCCTCCTGCAAAAACTGTCCTGTGGAATGCAGGTAAAATTTGAAAAAGTTTTGCTTGAGGTTTTCACTGAATGAATTAGAAAGAAACTGTGTCAATAAGCTCATGTTGCAGTAAATTAGATCATCCATTACTTAATACTGGTTTTAATTTTCAAGATAATTTCATTGTTGAATTAGTCTACAACAGATCAATAAACCATGCATGCGAGCAAACCAGGCTACAGGCTTCAGAAAGCTGTATTCGGTTAATGACAGCAGGTTATTTTTAACTACTGTTGAAAAGACTATGTTGACTTTTTTTAAGAGCAGAAATACCCAGACTTGTAGTTTCCTCTCCTATGAAGAAAGCACAAATTGCTTCATAATCAAAATCAGTCAGTTAATAACACTGCTCCTCTCTCATATCAATCTTGCAGAAATTAAAGTTTAATCTCTGGCCTAAATTGCAAGGAGGAGACCATGTGTGTGTGCTACATTGACAATATGGCTCTGGCTCTAAATGTACAAACTACCATACATTCACTTCACCAGCTAACCTTTTGAGCTAGACATGCTGAAATAAAACTATTACGCCCCTTTTTGTGCAATTCTACAAGGCCAAATTGCTAACACAAATTGTACAACACCACTTCTGTTGAAAGAAGTGTTGACTCAACCCTTTTTCTTAAGGATAGCGTTTCAGGCAACTGTAAAGAATGTTCAGAAATCAGAAAAAAAAAACCCTTTTTAGAATCAGACCCATGTAAATAAATAACAACCATACATATAATGATCAATACTTCTGTGAAAAATTAATACAATATAAACTGAAAAATTACTTTGGAACACTTCTAACACTCTTCAACAATGACAACAACAAAACCTAAAATCTTCAAGCCAAATACCGATTAAAAGCACAATTAGGTCATCAGGAATTTTACATCAACTCCTTGTGAAAGTCCTCTGCTACAAAAGAAATGGAGTCAATAATGTACTGTATATTTTGAAAGTAATGAAAAAAACAATTTTTCTTTCTTAGTTGAGTATTCTTAGTTTCATTTCTCTGAGTTTGCCTGTAATCTTGACCTCTTTGCTAGCTCTCACATATGAAGTATTTAATTAAATTTAGAAGATGCCTGAATTAATACTTAGGAGAACACTAGGTGTAACTAATAATTAACTTAGTATTTGTTAATTTCATATCCTGTTCGTTAGCATGAGTTATAATTACTGAACAATCTTTTAAACTACAGAAAACCTCTACTAATAAAGAGTAGTCTTTCACTTTCTGAGACCTACAATCTTTGAAGTAAAAATAAATCAAGACTGTTTAACACCTCATACCCTTCCCATTTTAAAGGTTCACTTTAGGAATAGCACAAGCAAAGACATTCAAATACCCAGTTTCTGATACATAGTATTCAAGCATCTGTTAAAAACCGTACTGGTGTCTGCAAAAATATTTCAGGTTTTACTGAAGTCTTCGACAGGTTAGTAATAACCACCTATGCTACTGTCACTCAAACTGTAGTTAAACTCTCACTGGCTTAAGAACAGAGTCTCCAAGAGTTGCAGTAATTTTCTTCATCAGAATGTAATGGAATTATATTTATCTTTTTAGTAATTTTTACAAAAATTGGTCTGAAATTCTGACTTTTTTTCTTACATCTGAGGTACGTTTTGAACTTTTGCAAAGGTTTTTTCATCCACGATCTAATAGTTAACAGATGTACTTATATCTCTCCTTGGCTGAGAAATAATTTCAATCCTGACAGTCAAAAATGAGCTCTATATGGTATTCTAACCACCTGTCCACAAGCAAGGAAAATCTGCTTTTTTAGGATGTAGTACCAGTGCCAAAGCAAGCAACTTGGCTCAGCTAAGTTGGATGAGGAATGATTGCCTTCAGTTTGATTTGACCTTGAGAAATCAGAAGGTCTCAGCAATCTGCGTACCTTTGGGTGCCATCAGAGAACAGACATCATGAACAATTGCCTCTGTTTGCATAGGAGATAATAAAGAAACACAAACTCTTCTGTAAAATAGGTAATCTATATGATACTTAAGAGCAACTTTTTCCAAACAACATAAATTGCTGTACGTGGAAGTTTTCCACATACATCGTTCTTCATCAAATTCACAGAATGAAAAAACATTCAAATGAAAAAATATTCAAGTTCAGGTGACACCCAAATCCCAAGACATGAACTTTTTTGTAATATACCATGTAAATTGTATTAGTATCACCACGGGGAATCTTCCACCCACATGACACTAAACACCTTCCAGCCCCTAAGAAATCTCCTTTTTCTCTTCCAACACACATACAGCCATCTGTGTCTTTTTACTTTAACCCTTCCCTTACATATACTATATTCCTTTGACCACCTCTGCTTCTAGAAGACAGGGTTATGTATGGGAAGTAACTAAATATTTTTTTCTGAAGGCCAGGTTACGAGAATATTCACAAGAGTATATCAATAAGTTAGGGAATATTGTCTGGTTGTGTGTAGCTATTAACTTCTGCCTCAGAGCCGAAATGTGTTTTCCTTAAAAGCTGC